CGCGTCGAGCATCGATGCTTTGGGGGCAGTCTTGGGCGCCTTCTGCTCCTGGCCTTAAGTCGGACCTGCCCCTCTACAGGAGGAATATTCCAAAATAGTGGAAACATTGTATGCGGACGATGTTTTTACTTTTTTGGGGCATCTTTCTGAGCATTCTGTGAATATTTTTATTTTTCCTCGGAAATCCCGCTGCAGGGGGACAGGTCCGACTTTTAATCCTGGCCCCCAGAAGACGTCTCGCCAGCTGGGTTTTCTCTCCTCGTTGGAGGAACAGCCACATAAGCATAAACTTTTGGCGCTCCGGGCGGGTTACTTGGATCCGCGCTAGGGCCCCCGTGGCGGCGCCTCCGGCGCCGCCCATGGCGCGCTCCGCGCTCCGCGCGCCAGGGAGGGGGCTCCAGCGCAGATCAAAGAAATCCGCGCGGAGCGCCAAAAGTTTATGTTTATGGCGTTTTTTCTTCTTCCATCCTGGCTCCCTGGAGGCGTTTCGCCAACTGGGTTTTCTTTCGGGCGTCTCGCCGCTGAGCTTCGTGTGTCCTCGGAGTTCCATCTTTAGAATGCACTGGCGTGCGCTAGCGTCTGGTAAAATCAATCCGCATAGTAAGGATGGGGAACCTTCCCAAGGTTACCCCTTGCACTCTTGCCTCCTCGCCCCATCCTTGGCCACTTTCGTTGGCCGCGCCCCGCTCGAAAAGCTTCGAGATGAGCGTCCAAGGCCTTTGCATCCTCATCGCGCATCCTCATGATACGGGCCGTCTGTTATCGATGAGAACAGTGCAGTTTTCGCGTCGATGGGGCGTCGATTTGGGGCCGACCAGCGTCGGCGAGCGTCGATGCGCAAGGGACAGCAGCATGACACGGGGGGCTCCCAGGAGTTGCCGCGGGAGGGGTTCGAGCCTGGCTGGAGCGCGGCCAGGAGTGGTCCGGAGTGAGCAAAAACACAGACACAATGAATCGTCGATCCCCCCGAAAATATAGGAAAATATTGACAATTGGGGGGGGGAAGACGAGAACCCAGAAAGTATGGAAGAAGCTCGGGAATCCTGGGAGGTGTGTGTATTTGTTTGTTGCTGTGTGTCCCAGGGCCCCCTTTGTAGTGGGCCGTGGCAGGCAGGGGTGCCGCCCCAGGAGGCCGGCGGGGCCGGGCAGCACCCTCGGCGGCGGCGGCGGTTCTGGACGCCCGAAATGGGCGGTTCCGGACGCCTACCAAACAATGATCTAAGAACTCTTTGTGGTTCCCACGAAATGCTCTCAGAACGTTTCTGGCGGAGTCTGTCTTGGTTGAACACATCGGGTTTCTGTTCTAAGAACATTGTTTTTGTTCTTGGAACATTTTTGGGTTCTACGAACATGTCGTGGTAGGACTACAGGAATGCCGGGACGGCCGGTCCCTGCTCAAGAAATGGGTACGGAAAGATCCTGTTCATTCTGAACAGGACTCGCTGTCCGCGCCGCCGCGGCCTGTGTCCTTTCGAGACAGATGGCCGCCTGCCCAACAGCGGCCGCTGTTGGTTTGGGACAACATTTGCTGTTGGGCATTGTGCCCGTTTTTTCCGTACCCAGTTCGGGCGTCCAGAGGGGGTGGACAGAACCAGACAGGATCGCGTCGTGACACAAAAAATCAGGACGGGAGGTTGTTGGCCAAGTTCGGCCTCTGGGGCCCTCGTCAAACAACGATTCGGGACGACAAGCCGGTCCCCGGGGAAGGGGGCGGGACGTCCAGGGGCAGCACCCTCGACGACGGCGGCGGCGGCGGCGGCGGTCGGGACCTTGAGCAGGGACCGACCGTCCTGACATTCTGATCGGCCAACCACGATCGGGTATGGCCAGGACCCCAGGTAAGGGGACCCGGTCATGGGCCCCCGGAGCCTTTGAATTGGCCAGAATCACTGAACCAGGTCTGCCGTGGCTGGTGTTTTTTTCGGGTGACGGCAGTTCCGGTTAGTGGAACAGGGCGGGGGGGAGTCCCCCAGTACACATCACTAAACCAAGTCCCAGTTCTGCCAACGCCCGACACGGAATGTTCTCAGAAACCAAAAATGTTCTTGTTCTAAGAACAAAACAATGTTCTCAGAACATAAACCCGATGTGTTAAAACAAGGCAGTCCCGGCGAGGAATGTTCTAAGAACATGTCGTGCAGACCACACAAGGTTCTTAGAACATTCTTTGGTGGGCTTATAGGCGAGCCAGGACGCTTTGCCAGTGCTCGAGGATCGGGGGTGGACAGAACCCCCACCCAGACACGTCCATTATCGATTAGTGAATCATCGGTGGTCGGTTCTCGAGAGGGTGCCGCGGCCGTCCTTTCCAAGGCTTTTGCGCCCGTCAGGGGTTGGGCCCGGGGTTGTTTTCACTAAACCACGTTTTACTAAAGGGGGGTGCTGTCCATCCCCGACGGGAGGGAAACAGAGCACGGTAGGTGATCGTTTTCTGATTCTTCGTTTTGCCGATCGGCACGGGCCCTCGCATTCCCCCCCCGCTCGCTCCCCCTCCCATGGAGCAGATCTTGGCTGTTTTGGGCGCCCGTTTCGAGCAGGTGGGGTCTCTCCCCCATCGGACTCATTGCTGCGAACAGTCGCACTCAGTAGAGGTCCAGGGCCAGACCCTCCCCCTCTCCCCCCCCCTCCGCGCAGTGTCGAAACCCCGAATAAGAAAACGTTCACTAGGTTCATTCGGCGTTGGCGCGCCGGCGACGCCAGCGAAGGCGTTCAAGGTTGAGATCTGCAGCGCGTCGCAGAAGCACCGATGTGCGCGACAGCGCCACTGGACCCGACGGACTTCAAGCTCGGGCGATCAGGACGGCGATCGAGTCAAAGTTGACGATCGACGCGGTGTGAAAAGCTTTTGCGCGCGCCGACGCCGCGCGAACTTTATTACCGTACGTGGTCAATGAAATGCTGCCGCTGGGAGCCCGTCGGCACTCTGCTCTGGTTTCGCTCCTTGCCCGAAGTCCTGGTAGCATTTCTTCACCAGCAACACTGCTGATTGGTTCCCCCACGGCGGGGTGTCATGGATGTTGCCTTTTCTCCCCCAGGTTGCAGCGTCGACGACGACGGTAACGACGTCGGCGGCGACGCCGACGGGAACCATTGGCCGCCTTCGACGGCGGCGGCGGCTTTGTGCCCGCGTGGTAGCGGCCGCCTGGAGCGAGCCAGGCCATACAGAACATCCCGCTGGCCACCTTCAGCGTGCTCCGCGAGACGCGGCTGTTCTGGAGCGCGCGCGCGCACGCCGCGCTGTCGTCCCTCCTCCTTCTTCCTCCTCTTCCTCCTCCTCCTCTTCCTCCTCCTCCTCCTCCTCCTCCTCTTCCTCCTCTTCCGTAGCCATTTTGGCTCAAGATGCCTGGTTCCCTTGGGGCCAAAACGGATACCGCTAGTCCGCGGCTTGCCCTCGAAATTTTCCGCCTTTACTGCAGGGGTGGGGCGCCTGCACCAGTTCCACCCTTCCTCACGGAGGCCCCTCAGTCGAAGGTTTCAGGGGTCCTCCAGCTGGAGGGTTCGCGAGCCCCATGGTCCCACCGCCTCCCGCCTCTGATGTGCTGCGCGGCCCCAGGTCGCCGTATTGGGGATGCAGTTGCGGCGCAGACAAGAACTGGGCGTGCCGTGTCCGTTGCCGTTGAGGCACAGCTGCCCCAGCTCGCATCGTCGCCGCAGCCAAGACCGCACATGCTAGAGCTGAGAAGGAAGCGCAAGGGAGGAAGCCCGTGCTTGGTGGCCGTCGTCCCACACCAGCGCCATGGGCACGGGACCAGAACGAGGAGCTCCGCAAGCAGCTGGCCGCGCTCGAGCGCAAGTTGGCCAACACAAGCCTCAAGGACCCGACGCCCGACCAGGGCACAGGTGCTGAGAGGCCGAAGGATGCAGGAGCCACCCGAGCGGAGATTCTCTCGTCGATCGCATTCTATGAGAAGTCCCTCAAGGAGCCGTCGCTGCCGTCTCATGTTAAGCAGGCGCACCAGCTCGAGCTCGAGACCCTCCGTGTGCAGCTCGAGAGCGTCCAGTCTCCCGAGGCCGCCCATCGCAGGGCCCAGGACAAGCCCAAGAATGCGCAATCCCAGTTGGTCAAGCTCCAGCGCGAGGCTGAGAAGATGTCCAAGCAAGTTAACGATCCCCAGGCCGCACTGGAAAACAAGAGGGCCGCAATCGTCTCCAAGGAGGCGGATATCGATGGCTACAAGAAGTTTTTCGCTGAGACCGCGAAGGCCGTCGCCCCCGAGCGGCCCCTCTTCTCTGATTTCAAGTTCGACAAGGATGGGCTCCCCGAGGAGATCCGCACCGCCCTCGAGTCCATCGGGGCGGCGACCATTGACAAGTTCTTCTCCGACCTCGAGGGCCAGGTGCGGAAGGCAACCGTACCTGAGCACGAGGATGCCCCCATGCCACAGCAGCCCGCTGAGAGTTCTGATGTACCTCCTACTCCTGGCGATGACGGCTCCTCTGGTGGCGGCGTCAAGCGTGACCTCGACCCCACTTTCGAGGAGTCAAAGGTACTGTTCGAGCTTGTCAAAGGGGGCAACCCTGACGACAGCAACGGAGACTTCATGCAGAAGTTCCATGACAAGCTACTGGCCATGCATCGTGATAAACGGCAGCGCCTTTGATCTGCCTGTATTAGTCAGTAGCTTACCTGTTCATCACGGCCAAGGTCGGCCACCACCGAATGCTGACCCCCGTAGCCAGTTCTTCGTGGAATCCTTCAACGCTAACCGTGGCATCCGCACACTGAAGGAAAATATACAGGCTTCGTCAGCGACAATTTTCGTCGCACAGGAAGTCGGATTCCACGATGATGACAATGATGATGTTGTTGCCTGGGCAGGTCGTCGTGGGTGGAAGTGCCTCACCAGCCCTGGCGCCAAGTCCAGGGGAACAACGCCCACGCAGGGAGTAGCTATTCTGGCTAGGGATCACGTTGGACTTCGGGGGCCAGGTTGCGCCCACGCTGTCCTTCGCCAGCGACGCGCATTGCATGCAGTTGTGCACCTTCCTGGCTGGCCGCCGCTGCACATTGTCTCCTTCTACCGGGTGGTCAACCAGGGCATCAAGGGCAGGAATGCGCGCATCCTGGCTCAGATCGGCACGCGGGTATCTGAGATTGCCGACCCCGTCGTCCTGGCTGGTGACTGGAATGCTACCCCGAGGGACATCGAGGAGTCAGGTTTCCCGAGAGAAGCCAAGATGGTACTCGTGGCCCCGTCCCTGCCCACTTGCATCGCACCCAAGTCGAGCCGTGCGATTGATTTCTTTGCTGTCAACACTGTTGCCAAGAGGTTGCTTGAGTCCGTCCATGTGGGCACTTCCTGGCCGAAGCGACCTCACCGCCCCATCTCACTGGGTCTTTCCACGGAAGGCCTAAGGCAGCAGTACATGGTATACGCGGTGGCAAAGAAGTATGGGACTGAACGTATCCTCGGACCCACGCGAGAAGGCCCAGATTGGCACCACCCCTCTGTGATGGCTGAGACGGCCGTCGATGCTAGTCGCCAGAAGCCTGTCCGTGGAGCATGGTGCATTTTGTCTCGAGCGTGGGCTACCTTCGCCCATGCCGCCGAGATGGAGATTAGTGCAGTCACTGGCTTGAGTGCGTCCAAGCGCTTCGTGGGGGGCGCCACCCAAAGCCAGATGGGTTGATTGCAATCACCGCCCCGGGACAGTTGCTGGAGCGAAGGCGATCTCTCGCGGCTGGACATGGCCATCGCAGTCCCTGGACAACCTGTGCAAGCTCATGAGGCTCAAGCACACCACAGTACCTTGTTTGGAAGCCGAGGTGGATGTGTTTTCGACCGCTGAGTACTTCGGGCAGGGGCTATGCGGACGCCTTGATGCCAGTGTCCTCGAGGCGCGCGTTGCAGTAGGCAATGCCTTACTTCGTGCAGCTGGAGCCCAAGGCCCGCTACCAGCACCGTCCACAGCGCATCTACGCTCAGAAGCGGCCCCTGCGGCCGCTGTCGAGGTTGGCCTTTCAGGACAGGAAGGCCTGCAGTTTGACGAGCCCGACATTGACCAGGATGATTTATTTGGCATCAATGTGCAGCTCGGGGACCAGTCTGGAACTGTCACTCAGGACGATGATTTCGAGACTTGTGTCGCACCTCGGCCCCACCGCGACAGCCGCCGAGCTGCTGGAATTCTTGAGCAGCACCGTCGAGACATTGCAGCTGATGCGCGGAAGGCCGAGCTGGATGAAGTTAAAGATGATCGCCAAATGTGGCAGGACTGGTGCGACGCGGCATCGTCCAATGATTCGCGAGGACTACACCGCGCTACCCGAGTTCCCAATGCGCCTCACCCTACGGTAGTTCGTATCGCAGGAGGGCTCTCGGCACATCCCCATGATATCGTCGAGGCTGAGGTTCGCAAGTGTGAGGAGCTGTGGCATGCTAGCCAGTTTCCGAGCCAAGCCTGGACGCCCGACAGGACGGCAATGGGCAGGGCCAGCGCGGACGTCATTCGTGATGTGTCTAACAGCTTTCCGCGCACCACTACAGCCAGTATTGATCGAGTGAATCCTCGTCACCTTGGGCTACTTCCTCGCGCTGCGCTCGACGCCATGGCAGCGCTCTTTGAGGCATGCGAACGGATTGGTCTTTTCCCTCGCCAGTTATGCTTCATTGTCATGCCCATGCTTGCTAAGCCTGACCAGGGCCACCGTCTGATTATAATGTACTCTGGCATTTACCGTGTCTGGCAGAGACTTCGGCGCCGTGACCTCGATGGCCTTCACCAGCAGCTGCGCCGCCCGTACTGGGGCGCCCTGGCAGGCCGCAGTGCACTCGATCTGTCTTGGTTGCAGGCTGCGCGCAGTGAGGCTGAGGTCAGCCAGAACAATTACAGCCTGCTCATTCTGATGGACTACAGCAAGTTCTACGAGGGCATCCCGCTGGAGGTGTTACGTTGTCGCATCCTTGCCTGTGGCATGCCCATGCCGATTCTCAAGTTGATTTTCAACAGGTGGCAGTCACCACGCATCATTCGCCTTGGCCTGCACCACAGCAGCCCAGTTTTGTTCGCCACGTTCGGGCTACCAGCAGGCTGTGCTTTCGCTGATGTTGCGGTTCGAGCCTTCACGATCACAGAGTGCGACCAGTTTGTGTGCCGCAACCCGTCGATCGATTTCATGAGCTACATCGACGACACTGGAGTCCACGTGAGCGGCCGTGACCGAGACATCGTCGCAGGCGTTGCGATCCAAGCGGGTGTGCAGTTTCAAGCAGTTTCCCGACGATTTCAGGCCACTCTCAATGATAAGGTTGCCGTCGTGGCCAGCGATTGTGCCCTTGGCGTGGAGGTGACCACTAAGCTCGGCCTCGCCAAAGACAAGTCCAAGCCAGCGGTCACCTATCTTGGCACGGGTTTCGCCTGCGGACGGCGACGAGGACAAGCCCGCACCGCTGGCAAGAGGAAGATGCGTCTGCGGAAGTCCTCCCAGCGCCTGGCCAAGGCGGCCAAGCTCAAGTCTATGAGGAAAGCCGATGAGAGGCTTGGGCGAGTTTACACCACAGGAATCAAGATGGCAGCTCACTACGGGGTCGAGGTCAATGGCGTTGACGACCAGGAGCTGCTCGCCATCCGTCGCCAGGCCATGTCCTACTTGGCGCCTGCGACGAGGGGCGCGAGCTTGCGTGCCAAGCTGGCATTGCACGGCGAGCCCGCGGTGCGTGAGGCCATGGCACCCGCGCTCCAGTGGTCCAAGATGATTTGGCATGCTGTGGCTTTTCCGTATGATGCACTTGTAGGCCTAACTGAATTAGTGCGTATGTGGGACCGCGTTTTTTTCCCAGGATCTGTCGGATCTTTCCTGGGATCAAACCCGCGGCCCGATCTCCAGGATCCCGCTTTGCCTTGCTCGCGTAAGGTGGAGGCCTGTTTCAGCCACCGAGTGGGTCAACCAGGATGGCATCACTATCCAGCTCACACAATGTTCTCCTGCGATGCTGGGAAAAATGTTTAGCACCGCGTTCCAGGCAGCCCATGAGAAGTCGCTCGGGGAGAAGTGGGGGTTTGCTGAAGGTGTCAGGGCCAACCTGGACGTGGTTAGATTCTGCCTCAGGTCCAAGACGAAGTATAACAAGTACCAGAAATATTTAGTTCAAGCTGCCGTCTGCGACTGTTTGTGGACTGAACAGCTTGCACACGACAATGGTTATGACACCCTCCGAGCTGGCCGATGTGAATGCGGTGAACCTGACACCACCCACCATCGGCTCTTTTGCTGCCAGCTCCCAGCTGTTGCCCAGGCCCGCGAGGAGGCAGAAGTTCCTTCGACCTTCCTGGGCGAAGCTCGGGAGGACCCTGGAAGCCTTCTCCATTTGAGAGGTGTCGTCTCGGTGCTCCCAGGGGACATCCCTCCTGTCAAAGGGGCCCCCGAGGCCATGGTCCTGGACGGTTTAGGTGAGGTTTTTTCCCGAACTGGAGCCCGAGAATTCTGTGCACTTCGCCGGCCATAGCGATAACCTACACATCGCGGTGGACGGAAGCAGTACAATGCCGATTTTGTCATGTTTTCAGTGTGTTGCGTACGCGGTCGTTTTGTTTGACCCCCAGGCCGAGGCCACCCTTTCGGTAGTGCGTGGCACTGTGCCTGGAGGTTTTCCGCAGCCCCCCGCGATGGCTGAAACTTTCTCGATTGCTGTTGCTTGCCAGATCGCAGATCGCAGCTCCTACATGCATGCCGACTGTAAAGCAGCAATAAGTCAGGCCCTCCTTCCCGAGCACGAACAGCTTCGTGCGAGTAAGGTCTTCGCTGGTGTCTCGGCCTTCGCCCGCTCCCTCAGCGGCCACGGCCGCATTAGGTCCATCCAGCATGTGAAAGCGCATCGAAGCGAGGGCGTGATAGATAACTTGCCGCTCGTGGAGCGGGCGCCTGCGAAAGGTAACCGCGCTGCCGACCTCCACGCCAAGGAGGCTCTCAAGATGCACGCTTCGATCGGACCCGAGGCAGCCAACCGCCTCGAGTCTGAAGTTGAGACCGCCAGGTATGTTGTCCAGCTTGCTGCTAGTGTGCTACCTGCCTTCCAGTCCAGAGCGAAGCGCGTCGGGCCCTTTGCCCGTCACCGTTCTGTCAGGTCCGCTCCTGGGTGGCATGAGTGGGAGTGTGGCCTGCTAGGCTTGCAGTGCAAGCATTGTCTGGTGGTCGCCCATGAGGGTACCCCCCAAGAGGCTCTGGGCTGCTCTGGGGCCCCCGAGTTCGTTCGCCAGGTCGTCCGCCGCTCCCTGGGGCACCTGGTTATTGGTGTGGCCTCTCACGAGATCCACCCCAGAGCCCCAGAGCCATCGCAAGCCAAGCTGAATCGGCTCCAGTTTTTGTGTGTTCGCTGCGGCTGCTGGGCCCAGAGGTGCTCCCGTAATATTGATAAGAAGTGCCAGCGACCCTCTAGGCAGGGTCGTGAGGTACTAAGCAAGAACTCGCGAGGCCTAGGCCCCAGTAATCGTATCCGTCAATTGATTGATAGAGCTGCTGCGGTCACTGCAATGTCTGTGGCCCCCAAGCCGCGTTCTAGGACGCTCACTTGTACGTCTGTTCCCTCGGCCCACTCGTGTGCCCCCACCGTCCCTGAGTACGAGCGACGGATGGCTGCCTTCGCAGAGCGAGTGCGAGCCAAGGGGGCCCTCCAGGCCGAGGAGTAGTTTCGGGGCTGTGGCACCCCGTCGCGGGCCCTGGTCAGAGTGTGGGGAGCTCTGTCCTCCAGGGTAAGAAATCCCTCTCCGAGGGGTGCCACTCCCCCCCCTTGTTTTAGTCTTGCGAGACTCTTCCCCTCGGGGCTGTCCTAACCTAACCTCCTCCTCCTCCTCCTCCTCCTCCTCCTCCTCCTCCCCCACCCCCTCCTCCCCCTCCTCCTCTTCCTCCGCCACCTCCTCCACCTCCTCCTCCTCCTCTTTCTCCTCCTCCTCCTCCCCCTCCTCCTCCTCCTCCTCCCCCTCCTCCTCCTCCTCCTCCTCCTCCTCCTCCTCCTCCTCCTGGTCCCTCCTCCCTCCTCCTCCTCCTCCTCCTCCTCCTCCTACTCCCCCTCCCTCCTCCTCCTCCTCCTCCCCTCCCCCTCCTCCCCCTCCTCCTCCTCCTCCTCCTCCCCCTCCTCCTCCTCCTCCTCCTCCCCCTCCTCCCCCTCCACCAAATCAGTCAGCTAGGTCTGTGGCCCGGGCCCTGCGGTAGGTTCGCGTCGTGCCGTGTCGACGCAGCGCAGACCCCAGCGCGGTGAACCGAGGGCGAAGCGAGATTTGGACCGATGGACCCGGAGCCAGCCGATGTCGAACAGTGTGTCGGGGCTGGACAGACCTCCTACCCTGACACGTCGATTAGTGAATTGGCCGTTTTCGGTTCGCGGGAGGGCGTCGCGGCCGTCATTTTTGCGGGTCCAGGTCCATCGGTTTCAGTCCCAGGCCGTTTTCACTAAGGGGAGGTCTGCTAAAGGGAGGTTTGTCCAGCGCCGAGTTTGGGCTATCGTCGGGACGCCGCGGTCGGTCGCGCGCAAGGCGTCACAGCACGAGCCTGCAGGAAGCAGTCCAGCACGGCGGTGCCCGGCGGTTGAGTCCGAATGCAAGGCAGCATTTCGTGGGAATGATCCCACGCTCGGGCGCGGCCAAGAGGGGGGTGAAGACTAGGGGGGGAGGATATCACGGCGGGCGCCATGATATCTCCCCAGATTTCAGGGCGCCGCTTCTTCTCAGGGGGAGGAGGAAATGGGAGGGAGGAGGAGGAGGAGGAGGAGGAGGAGGAGGGAGGAGGAGGAGGGAGGAGGAGGAGGGAGGAGGAGGAGGAGGAGGAGGAGGGAGGAGGAGGGAGGAGGGGGAGGAGGGGGAGGAGGAGAAGAGGATGATGAGGAGATGATGATGATGATGATGATGATGATGAATGATGATGATGATGATGAGGAGGAGGAGGAGAGAGGAGGAGGAGGAGGAGGAGTAGGAGGAGGAGGAGGAGCCTCCTCCTCCTCCTTGTCCTCCTCCTCCTTGTCCTCCTCCTCCTCCTCCTCCTCCGCCGCTAACCTCCCCCACTCCCGCCCGCCGCTGCGAGGAACGCGGCCCTGTGGGTGCTGCTGTTTCAGACGAGCCTTTCGCGGACGCAGTGGCTCGGAGGTTGTTGTTTGCGTTGTCCCTCTCGCCCTCTCTTCCTTTCTCTTTCCCTATCGCTCTCTCGTGTTTTTCTCTCCTGGTCCTTCTCCATATTTTCCATGTGGCTCTTCTTGTGACCCTTCTCCTTTTGATTGTGCAGGGGGTGCGGCCAGCGCCGCCGACTCTGAAGGCAGGACCTCCCCCAGGGCACTCTTGTGGCGACCTCCGCCTGGGACCCGCCCCGGGTCGCGGGGTGGTGGTATTCTGACCAGGTGCCCCCCCCCCGCGGCCCCCCCCCTTTTTCCAGGCAGGAAGGGGAAAAGGAATGGAGATCGACGTAGATCCCACGTTCCTCAATTTCTTTGGGACTGGAGACGACGACGACGACGACGACGACGACGACGACGACGACGACGACGACGGTGTTCTCCGCACGGCGAAGGCTCCGCGGTGTTTGTATTTCCCACACTTGCATTGTGCCCTGTTCTCTCTGTCGCTCTCTCTCTCTCTCTCTTTCTCTATGTATCTCATTTTTGTCATTTCTCTCTGCCTTTCTCTCTCTCTCTCTCTTTATCTACCTCTCTTTTTCCCCCTCTTCTATTGAGCAGGAGTGGGAGGAAGGACGCGTTTCTGAGTTCTCGGTCCCCTCCAGGGGCATCCCTGCACTTCCAGAAGGCTCCAGATAGGAGAAAGGGGGAAGCCGAGGACGTGGAGGCGGAAGTTGTCGTTGTTCCCGGAGGTTGCTGGAGAGCTTCGGAAGTTTTCGAGGATTTCGGATGTTGCGGGAGAGGGAGGAGGAGGAGGAGGAGGAGGAGGAGGAGGAGGAGGAGGAGGAGGAGGAGGAGGAGGAGGAGGAGGAGGAGGCTGCAAGCGACGCTAAAGAAATGAACACAGTACAATTACAAAAACACCCGTCCCAAGCTCCGGCCAAGAGGTCTGACGGCTGGAGCTTTGCTTCTTGGGTGTTTCAGACCAGACTTCTGCGCGAGCCTCCTTTCTCGGGAATCCAGTGCATCCAACGCGTCAGTTTCTTCCTGCGACATGGGGTAACAATTGGCAAGACACCAGTCTCTGCACTGGGTCGGTCCTTCGCCGGCTCTCGACAAATGCGCGATCAACCGAAGTCTAGTGGAGAATTTCGTGTGACATGAGGGGCACGTCGCGCCAGCACGTGCGAACAGCCGCATCGGGTTGCGAGCGCCGTGCTTGGACCTCATGTGGTTGAGGCACGCTTGGGACGTGCCAAAGGCACGCCCATGACACTCGTGGCAAATGAAATTGCCAACATTCACTGGCCCCGCACTCGCAGGCCGATGCTTGTCACAAACCGATTCGGCGAAACGCAGCTGGCCGACGAGCTCCCTCCACTCGTCCGGGCGGTGCACCATAAACCCTCCACTCCTCCTCCTCCTCCTCCTCCTCCTCCTTCTCCTTCTCCTCCTCCTCCTCCTCCTCCTCCTCCTCCTTGGACGGGAGATAGGCTGAGATCCTCGGGGTACGTTCATGACGGTTTGGCAAAGCATGCGCTGAGTTTTCACCCCAGCCTTGCTCCAGACGAGCTGGAGAGGCTGGATCAAGATGTTGTCAAGCTTCGCAAGCTCGTGGCGATGTTTGCGGCAGCGCCTTCCTGTTTCCCGAAACTCGAGTTTCGTCGGGAAAAAGCGGGCCCCAGGATGCCGCCCCCGCGTGCCCTGAGCTGGCACGATTGGGTCATCCTCGACCCTGGCGACGATGGCGCCCAGGAAAGCGTGGCTCGATGCAGTACGTGTTTTAAGGTGGCCTATGGCGACGCTCGGCCGATGCTAGGGTGCAACGGACTCCCCACGGCTCTGCGTCGCCTGCAAGGCGCTGAGAGCGAACGAGGTCACCTCCTGTGTACGACCCTGCGCCAGACCGCCGATTGTGAGATGCTGGTTTTCTGTTTCAAATGTGGAGCATTCACAAGTCAGCGGTGTTTCCTTCTCGGCGAGCGGTGCAAAGGGAAACCTGGACCGAGTGGCAGGGGCGCTCTCCACCGAATTCGTCAAGGCCTTCATCCTCACTACAGATCGGAGGAGAAGGTAGCTGCAGGCTCTGGCGCCACATGTCGCGCCTCTGCCAAGTACGTGCTGCTTCCTGCGGCGCCTACTGGTAGTCCCTCTTCGCACTCGGGTGTGCGTCTCCTGCCATCGCTGGAGGCGCTGGCGACCCGAGTAAGAGAGCGCGAGGTGAATGCAGCTCGGGCCTTGGAGGAGCATGGAGTGCTGCCTCGGCCTGCGACTCGCGGCAGTCCCGCGGGTTAAATCTAAGTGGCTAGGGGAGAGACGGCCATCTCCTGCGCTGCCACACCCGTGCTGGCTGGTACTGTTCTGTTCTGCTTCGTGGGCCCCCGAGGAAAAATCCTCCTCCTCCTCCTCCTCCCCCTCCTCCTCCCCCTCCCCCTCCTCCTCTTCCTCCTCCTCTTTCTCCTCTTTCTCCTCCTCCTCCTCCTCCTCCTCCTCCTCCTCCTCCTCCTCCTCCTCCTCCTCGGACAAACATATACTTACCAATACCACTACTCCCTGGACCCCTCCCGGGGTGCGCTCTGGCCAGAATTTTGAGGCGCATCCAGCGTTTGCGACGAGGGCCTCCGAGGAGGCCCCAGAAAGGGGCAGCGGTCTGGGTATTCCGAGTTTCTTAATAAGCGTCGGGGGGGCGTCACCCCCGCCGACAGCCCCACATCGACCCCCGTCGCGGGCAGCCACCGCGCGCCGAAGGCTCTCCGACCCCCGTCGCGGAGCGACGACGAAACGAGGTTTACCCCCGTCGGGGGTACCCCCACTCTTATCGAGAAACCCGAAGTACCTTTAAGTCGGGCGTGTCCCTCTACAGGAGGAATGTTCAAAAATTGTCCCCCAAAAGGTCTGGGGACGATTTTGTTACTATTTGCGGGTATGTTTGGAACATGTTTTGGTATTTTTCAATTTTCCGTCCAAGACCCCCCTGTACGGGGACAGGCCCCACCTAGGATTACCTCTTCCTCTGGCAGACAGGGCCTCGCCCTCCGTGCGCGCTGCCAGGCGCACAGCTCCCGCCGCGCCCCCCTGCTGCGCTCGGAGGTTGGTAGGCCTCCTAATTACCCTGACGCGTCGATTAAGGAATTGGCCGTTTTCGGTTCGCGTCCGCCCCAGAGCCGTCCCCCCTTCCCCCCCTTTGCTTCTTGTCGGGGGTGGACGGACAGACCTCCTACCCCGACGCGTCGATGAGTGAATTGGCCGTTTTCGGTTCGCGAGAGTGCGTCGCGGCCGTAATTTTTTGCAGGTCCAGGTCCGTCGGTTTCGGGTCCAGGCCGCTTTCACTAAAGGGAGATTTACTAAAGGGAGGTCTGTCCACCGCTGCTGCGCCCCCCGGAGGGGGTCCAGCAGCACGTTGCGCTACAAGCGGCCCCGCCCTCCCCTGCCTGCTGCTGGGCGCGCCTCCTGACCAGCATTCCGAGGCGGATCCGGCGGTGGCGACGAGGGCCTCCGAGGAGGCCTCTATTGGGGGAATCTTCAAAAATAATCCAAAAATAGTCGGGGGACATTTTTTTTTAGTAGTTTTGGGCATCTTTTGAGCATGTTTTGAATATTTTTCGTTTTTCGCCCAAAATCCCCCTCTAGGGGGACAGGCCCGGCTTAACAGAAGGGGGGAACGAGGGGAAGGGTAGTGGTCGTTTTTGTTATGCATTGCTTTGCCGATCGGCGTGGCCCCTCGCGCCTCCCCGGACCCCTCCCCCTGCCCGTGGAGTAGATGTGCCTGTTTTTGTTGGCGCCGGTTTCAGGCAGGTGGAGTCTCCCCCACAGGAAGTACTGGTCCAAACAGTCGCACCAAGCAGAGGTCCTGAGCCAGAGCCCCCCCTCCCCCCCCTCCGCCCAGTGTCGAAATGCCAACAAGTAAGAAAGCGCTCACGTAGCGGCATGTGCACCTCTCTTTCCGCTGTAGAGCGAGCATCCAAGTTCGGGGCAACGTAGGACTCGAGTAAGCTGGAACTCGGGTTTGCCGACTTTTTTTGGCGAGCGCGTCTTGGATTTTGACGTCCCGCTTCCGTGGGACGTTTGCAGCGGGAGCCCGCGTCAAGTGCCAGATTGGGCCTCGTCATTTCCACTGATGGCCCCCGTCAGGCCAACCCGAGTCCCCCGAACCTGAGTCTTACAGTCGGGGCCCTGAAGAAGGAACCCTTTTCGTTGGGGAGGGGCTCCGCGTTCCTTAGTTGTTTTACAGTGCTCCTTGGGTTTTCCTGAGGTTTTCCATGGAAAATCTGAGTTTAACTTATGGGAAAAAGGGGCCTCGCTCCTTATTTATCGTTCCTTAGGTCAGCGCCTCGACTGTACGTCTCCCCGACAAGTACACATGCGCATGTTGGATTCACGCTGGAAGACGCAGCGCTGGGGCAGCTGGTCACCACCCACCAAACCACCCCAACCGAACCCGAAGGCTTAGATTTACCCACGATTTCCAGTGGGAGGGGGGGTCGGGAAACATAGAAAAAACACACGTGGAACCCTTACCCCCCCCAACCCGAAATTCGGGTCTTCGGGTTGGGTTGGGGTGGTCTGGTAGGTAGTCAGCTGGGGCAGCATTGCAAAGCGACGCCGGCCCCCAGTGAGCGGGATCTTCGTCGGGTGCGCCGCCGCGCTGCCGCGCGGCCGCCGCGCCGCGGCCCCCCCTCCCGCCTTTCGGCCACGTCGGCCCGCGTGGAGCGGTGGGCGAGGCATGCGGGGGGTTAAAACGACGCGAAGCTCGGGACAAAATCGGATCGGGATAACTCGAAATCTCTGAGAATCGGCGGGTTTGGAGGATGTATTGGGCGCCGCGGCCGCTCCAGAGCGTTCTGGAACGCTCTGAGAGCGCTCCGGAACGCTCTGGATCAATTTATCCCGATCCTAGCCCTGTTTTAGGGGGGGGATGGATGGGGGCCAAGACTTGGAAACCGCTGCGCCTCTGTTGTGAGGCAGTTGTGTGCAGGAGGGGGTGCAGGAGGGCAGAGTGTCTACTCAGCTAGGAGGAGTTCGCGGCTTCAGAGTGGGTCGGGCTTGAAGTGCCTCGAAGAAAGCGCGCGCACCCCAATCGCAAGCACATGGCTATGTGCGGACCGAGGACATTTTGCTTCCCGTCGTCGTCCTCCCCGTTGCTCCGTCCCCCTCCCCCCCCCTTGGATGGTGTCGAAAGCGTCCGCGGCTCGAGCGGGAGAGCGCCCTTTTCCACCTCCTTCATTTGTCATCGTTCCTCTTGCCTCCCTGCTCCACTGTCCGTCGTCCTAACTCGTCCTCCCTCCTTGTTCGAAGAAGTGAAGTGACGCCCCTGGTGCCGCGTGCACGTATCGAAGATACACCGCCTTCTCGATACCCGAGCACAACGGCGCAACACCTATGCCCATACAGGCGCTCGGGACGCACTCCAAAGGCGGGCGGGAACGGCCGCCAAGCGCAGTCGCGTCGCTGACATGTACATGCGTAGGTGACTGCGGCAAGTTCCGCCCCCTTGCCAGCGCAGCGATCTGTATGGCGACGTCTGGCGCTCTGACGGTTACGAGGCCCATGGCATGTGACACCCCTCGCGTTCTCGGACTGCGGCGGGGCCTTCACTTGGGGTCATTCGGGGCCCTCTTGGGGCGTCTTGGGGCCGTTTGGGGCAGTTTTGGTGCCGCAGTTCACTGTGGCCGCCCTGGGTGAGAGAAACGTGTGTTTGTAGCCCCCTCGGGGCCGCCTTGGGCCAGGGAGGTGTGCATTTGAACCTCCCCGAACTGGGCACGTCGACTTCGGTTCTTGGTTGGCAAACTCGAGATGCCCTCGAAGTGGCGAGCGCTTCCTATTTTTCCGGCATGCACAGCAATGTGTGATCAGTGTACGCGGTTGGTATATTCAACTGTGTATTTGCGCGTGTGAGTCCTTAGTTTACACAGATCGTGGTGTGATCTGTGTACACACATCTTGTTGCCATCTGCGTATTTGGGGTATGTCCCTCGCGGGTGGTGTTGATTGGGTGGGAACTTTCATTTTTTCCCTCGGCTGGTCCAGGGGGGGGCATTGTACGCGGTCGAAATACACAGCTCTTGTGTCCAATTGTGCACGTGTTGCGCGCCATTCGCTGGACTGGTCACTTGGTGGGAGCTCCCGCGGATTTTGCAGCTGGTCCTGGAGGGGGCCGTGGTCTGGGAGGTCAAAAGTTCGGGGGGGGGGATGCGGGGCTGTAGGGGGAATAGTCTCGAAAAGATGGCGAAGGGGCGAAGGGGCCGGATGAAAGCGACAGGACGAGTGGGGACGAAATGTGCCCAGGAAGAGCTGCATCATCGGTGCCAACATCATGGGGACGACGAAGAAAGCGGCTGGGGGCAAAAGGAAGGGGGATGATCAGCTCTAGGGTGCAGAGGATGGGAGAAGGGCAAGGACGTGGATGATGGGGGAACGCATCCGGCGGAAGAGGACGAGGAGGAACGACATTAACTGGCACACGGGGGAGTTGAGAATGAGGAGGAGGGGCATGATGAGGACGGGGGGGGGTTCGGAGGGGCATGAGGACGGTGTGGCGACAGCGAAGGGATATCGGGGGGAGGCGGGGGATGGGGCATGAGGGTGAGGCGGGCGCCAGCGAACGTTCAGCTGATAAGTGTTTTGCATGTCCGTGCACCCCTCCAGAATGCAGCGATGGGTTGCTGAACTTCATTACCTGGGTTGTCGGGCGCGGCGCGCGCCCAGGCGAATGGCTCGAAACCGCGACGTTCCCTGGCGTCGCGTTGATGCCGCCTTGCTTCGCCAAGCCGCATACGCACTGATAGGCAACATCTGTGTTTCAACGTTTGTTTCAATACTTTGTCTATAGTAACAAACCCACGTTGGAATCTAAACCAATACATCGTTCGAGGACACATCTCGATTAGGGGATCGTCTACATAAGTGCTTCATCCCAAAATGTAGTTCGCCCACATCCAAAGTGGGGGCATTGTTTTCTCTGGACACCCCGCGCGGGAACACAGGAACACACACACACACACAGACACCATCGTCATCATCATCATCGTCTGCACCTATTCAGTCAGAGCCGATACTGGCCTCATGAGCTTTTCTCCCTTCGCACGTTCATTTACTCAGTGAGTCACACATCATCACCACCATCACACCTTCAGCATCCTCATCATTCAGTACACCATTGCTATCATCATGCGTTCAATCATGCACCATCATGTGATAGTTCTTTTATGTTTTTTTGTTTTCGGCGGAACCCCCCGCCCCCCCCCTCCGTAGAGAAGTTATGGGCTGATTTTGGCACCTGCTTCAGTCGATCGGACGAACTACGGGGGCCGGCGCCCCCCCCCCCCCCCCGTAGAAACTCGAATCGTTGATGTGTGCAACTGTGCGAACTTTTTCCGGCTATTCTTCTGGAGCCATAACGAAAGGTCTCAGGGGCGCCGGACCCGATCGCCAAAAAGCATGCCTCCGGTTGGGCCCTCCCCTGTTATGCCACCGACGGCCTTGTGGAATCATGAATATGTGATCCTTAGTAATCTTGTAATGCATAAGCGGTTTTTTTTTTTTTGAAAAAAAACACACACAAAAAAAAACGTGATAAATATATTAAGTGATGTTACGTCAGAAATGTGTTGATTCTACGTCAGAACTATATTGACTAATACATTTCACAATATATCATAATACAGTTTAAATTATCGATAAGTTTCAAAAATATTTGCGTTGTATTGTAATTGTTAGAATGAGTTTGTTTACCAGTTTCACGCCTCATGAGGCTCAAATGTTGAATTTTAAGCTATGTTGAAAATTTCAAGATGATTCAATCGGAGGTATTGACTACGGGACGAGAGCCGGACCCCCCCCCCTCCCCCCCTTGCGCCAAATGACGAAACCCAGAATACATAAACGCTCACCATCACCACCACCCTTACTACCATCTTCATCACTCACATAGTCATCATCATCGCCAGTCGTCGCACAAAAACCACCATCATCAGTCACATCGTCATCATCACTCACCTCCTCCTCCTCTTCCTCATCATCATCATCATCATCATCATCATCATCATTTACACGCGCACACATTCATTTTAAGGACGCATCAAGCGAGCCTCGTCTGTGAGTGAATTGTCCTGAACCTTTGGGCGGGAGCCCCTTCTCTATAGGGCCGGCAGCTCATATGAGTAATCCGAGCGGGTCACCAGTTGTTTGCAATTGTCGTCAAATGTGGGCCCCTGAGGTCTGCATGCGGAGGAAGTATCAAACGGGAAGGAGCTTGTGAGTGATTGCCGAGGAAATCTCAGGCGTGAGTCCCCTCCCTATGGCCCGCAGTTCGCGTGAATAATCTGAGCGTATCATCGGCCTCGTGCAACTGCCGTCACTTTTGAGCCCCTAAGGTGTGCATATGGACGAACTATCAGATGGGAGGGCGCCTCGTGCGGCAGTGAACTGCGAGGAAGACTCATGCGTGAACCCCCTCTTCATGGGGCCCACAGATCACGTGAGTAATCTGGGCGGGTCGTTGGCCTCATGCAGTTGTCGTCACGTTTGGGCCCCTGAAGCCTGCGTATGGAAGAGCGATAAAACGGGAGGAACCTCGTCAGCGAAATAATTGTGAAGAAGTATCGGGCGGGAACCCCCTCCCTATGGGGCCCGCGCAGCTCACGTCATTCATCCGAGGCGGGTCATCGGCCTCTGGTAACTATCGTCACTTTTGGGTTCCTGAGGCCTGAACATGGAGGAAATATCATGCGGGACCCTCGTTTGTGAGTGAATTGCGAGGAAGTTTCAAGCGGGAACCCCATCCTTATGGGGCCCGCACCTCATGTGCTTTCTCCGGGTCGTTTTCCGGCGCGTGGTTCCTCTGGATCGTCATCCGGCGCGTAGCCGCTGGGACGCACGTCGCGCGTTTTCTCTTAGGTCGTGTTCCGCACGAAGAGCAGGAGGAGGAGGCGAAGGAGGAGGAGGAGGAGGAGGAGGAAGAGGAATAGGAACAGGAGGAGGCAGAGGAAGAGGAGGAAAAGGAGGAGGAGGAGGAGGAAACGGAAGAGGAGGAGGAGGAGGAGGAGGAGAAGGAGGAGGAGGAGGAGGATGACGACGACGACGACGACGATAACAACAATGCTGTAGGAGGAGAGAAGGAGGAGGAGGAGAAGGAGAGGAGGAGGAAGAGGAGGAGGCATAGGAGGAGGAGGAGGAAGAGGAGGAGGAGGAGGCAGGAGGAGGAGGAGGAGGAGGAGGAGGAGGAGGAAGGAGGAGAGGAGGAGGAGGCAGGAGGAGGAGGGGGAGGGGGAGGAGGAGGAGGAGGAGGAGGAGGAGGAGGAGGAGGAGGAGGAGGTGCCCTAGGAGGAGGGAGGAGGATGGAGGAGGAGGAGGAGGGGAGGCGAATGCCCTAGGAGGCCCCAGGATGTCCCGGGAGGCCCAGAAAACTCCAGGAGGCCCAAAGAGGGCCCAGGAGGCCCTAGGAGGCAGGAGGCCGAAGGAGGAGGCAGGAGGAGGAGGAGGAGGCGGAGGAGGAGGAGGAGGAGGAAGAGGATTAGCGCGTGGTGGAGGGGGCGTTCGCCTGGTGACTACTAGCCGCCCGCGGCCAGGGATCCCGCTGTGGGGATGGGCCGTAGGACTCGGCGGAGCTCCAATCGCCGAGCCACTCCCTTCTG